GTTGTTGTTGTTGTTGTTGTTGTTGTTGTTGTTGTTGTTGTTGTTGTTTTTGTTGTTGTTGTTGTTGTTAAGGAAGTTGGTTATTAAAAGAGTATCTCTGTCGACATATAAAGAGAAGTCTTCTTAACCCAGGTACAATTCAAAGCGTTCAAGATGGAGGGTTGTTTGCTAGTAAGATGACTACATTAATCAATCAGCTATTCTCCCGACATGTGTGTCACTTCTAGATGGCTGTCTCTTCCATTCGCGGGGAATCTGGATGTTAAGTAACCTCACAGAACTAATCCCTTCTTGAGAAGCCACCAGTTGTGCAGCTTCTCAAGAATTTCCCCACATTTTATGTAACCCGAAGGTTATGATATTGTGTTTACAAGAGCCCTTCACTGGTCCCTATCCTGAACCAGATCAATTCAGTCCACATTCAAGCTCGCGTTGTCACACTTGCTTGAATGTGGGCAGTTCCCACACCAACCCATGCTATTTCTCCAAGATCCATTTTAATATTATCCATTCACCTATGTATTTTAACAGCCAGTGGTCTCTTTCCTTTTGGCTTTCCCACAAATATCCTATATGCATGCCTCATCCCCCAATTCGCGCTAATACTCTGCCCACCTCAACCTCTATGTCTTGATCAGTTTAATTATGCTTGGAGAAGAGTACCAGTTATGAAGCTCGTCATTATACGGTCTGAATCTGTGAATTAGAAAATAAAATCTTTTGTTGTGCGCGAGATAATCCCAAGTATCAAGAGGCATGTTGTATAATGTAGCTCACATTCGGTGTCTTTTGCGGTAATAGAGGACAGGACACTAATGGACGCTTGGCGAACCAATGAGGTTACACAATACGGATTGCGGCTGCGCATCTGAGTCACTCTTCATTTATATTGCTCCATATTACGCACATTACGCTGCGTGGCACACTGAAACATATGCTTTTCCTCAGTTGCTAATCAAATGAATGTTGTTCGATCCTTTGACATTGTGTAATGCTTCAATCAGTTTCGAGAAAGTAGCTATCGATGTATTAACTACATTTTGTAGCTTTCATGGGTGCCTCTATATTTCAAGCTGGTCGCTTAGTTTTATCAATATGCGTTACAAAATCAGGCTTGACTTGTTTAAATTTATGATCAGTTGCCATTCAATTGTGGAAACCTCATGTTCCCACCACGTTCTTAAGACAAGAACATTGGCAGACTTTCCTTCCAATTCAAAAGTTACACAAGGAGCATGGACAAATGATGCACACGTGGCAGTCTTAGATTTGTGCTCTAACCTAAATTCCTAGTCCCATGAGAATGATAAAACAGATTATTTTCAAGTCAGAAAGGGACAGTCCGGAGACCTGGACTGATATGCAGTGTTACAAGACGTTAGCGAAATTAGTTTTAAAAAAATATATTTTAATAAATTCAGTGTGAGTTTAAAACTAATGTATAATCAATAATGCCTCTATGGCATAGTTGTCAGAGTTCCTGGCTACAGATCCAGAGGTTCTGGTTCGATTTCCGTCGTTACCAGAATCTCTGAGAAGTAGTAAGTCTGGAACGGGGTTCACTCAGCCTCGTGAGTATAATTGAGGAGCTACTTCAAGGAAAGAGCGGCTCCGGTCTAGAAAACCGAAATTAATGACCGTCAAGGAGGATGAGGTGGGCAGGGCATGTAGAACGAATGGGGAGAAGAGGAGTGAATATAGGATGTTGGTGGGAAAGCAAGAAGGAAAGAGACCACTTAGAAGACCAAGGCGTAGATGGGTGGACAAAATTACAATGGATCTTAGAAGGATAGGATGGGATGTTATAGATTGGATTGGTCTGGCTCAGAATAGGGACAAGTGGAGGGCTTTTGTGAACAAGGTAATAAACCTTCGGGTTCCATAAAATGTTAAGAAATTCTTGAATAGCTGCAGAATTTGCGGCTACTCCAGAAGGGCTCAGCTCCATGAGTGAATAAGTAAGTAACTTTGAATATTCGGTCCATGTAACAACTGAGCTTTTGGCTGGACAGCCGAAGATTTTTTTATCTTCCAGTCAGCGTCAAGGGACTTGATTTTTCTCCACAACGTGAAGATGTGCCATGGGGTCCACCCAGGTTCCTATGAAATAAATCGGCGGGTCTCCTTCGTCGATACTGACTCGCCGGTGCAATAAAATGAACCCTCGACCCCAAACCGCCCCCCCCCCCAGGATAAGAAAACATGGAGACACAATTTCATTGTCCCATTGGTCTTCAGGACTTCAGCTTAAGAGTGAACACTTATTTTTTAATTTGTAATTCAAAACTTACAGAAAACACACTGCTTCTCTATGAGAAAAATCAAACGGTGAAGTGTCTTTGCCTTTTCATTATGATAATCATATATACAACATAAAGGCACTCCGTGGATGAAGAAAGATATTCTTAATGTTAAAGAATATGGTATATATATATATATAGACACACACACGTAGGTAGCACTGCGCATATCTTTAATGTGTTCCTTTAACGTCCATTGCCTGCAGTCTTAAGAACGGCCATGTTTTTCATGTGTTCTACCCCTCTATAGCTCAAGCGGTTAGTCGCTGGCTTCCCACCGCGGCTGCCCGGGTTCGATCCCGGGTCTGGTCAAGTGGGATTTGTGGTGGACAAAGTGGCGCTGGGCAGGTTTTCTCCGAGTACTTCGGTTTCCCGTGCTAATCTTCATTCCACCAATTGCTCCACAATCACCCTCACCTATCATCTGGGGCTGGTACAATAGGCCAGAAGTGGCCGCAGTACAGGGGACTTAGTCCCACCCCACTAGCAATAAAAAATTACTTCACGTTTTAGAATGGGAGTAATATGTTTGTAACATATTCTACAACAGAGTTTCGTTTTATCCTTATATTACATACAATTAAAAATACTCACAGATTTATTAGATATCAGGTTTTCGGACAATCGAATTTGTATGTCGAGTACAGTTCCCGCAAGACTGTGTCGACTGGAGAGCAGAAACGTGGATATATATATCCGAAAGGAAAAGTGCGCTGTTCAATTAGTTGTTCACCTTCACCGCACTAGGTATACATGTAGCATATCCATAAATTGTACATTTTATTCATAAATGGAGAGCTGGCTATTTCAGATGTTTGTCTCTTCAGTCTGTTGGCCTCTTTTCCTATCCATTTCTGGTGACACTCTGAGAAACTGAAGTTCACCATTCGAATGCTTATCTCTATCTATAGATGTTACGTGTAAATGTTTTCAATAAAATTTGCAGTCTGTTTTAAATATCCAAATGTGTGCCGGGATAGCGTAGTCGGTATAGCGACTGGCTACGGGCTAGACGACTGAGGGGTCGGAATTCGAGTCCCGGTAGGGGCAAGAATATTCACTTCTCCATGTCGTCCAGACCGGCTCTGGTGTCCACCCAACCTCCTATCCAGTGGGTACAGAGGGATCTTTCCCCGGGGTAAAGCCACCGGGACGTTAAGCTGACCACGCACCTCCAACTAGTGCCGAGGTCATGGAAACATGGATCTATATGTCCATTCTCCCATATTCCTTTATGGGGTAAGTGTTTAATTAGTTAATTATGGGGACAAATTCAACTTTTAAATGTGTAGTATATTTCACCTCTTATTGGTATGTTTATTAATTTATTAGTTTTACAATTAATTCCAAATTTATTTTCAACAAGGTTTTTTTTTTCCTATAATCAGGACACTTCAAATTGTACATACATATGTTATATACAGAATACTGTACAATAATACGCGGTAGGATACAAACGGAGGGAAACGGAATAAAGAAGAAAGAAAGATCGAAAAGGGATGGAAAAGAAATAGGAGAAGAGAGAAAGGTAGATACATTGTCTTTCGTTCCAGTTCTCATAAATCATTACGGGAACCACAGAAGGGGATAGGCCCATTTGTGACTACTGCACTTACAGGATTCATTAATCGACATTCAGTTTTCTGAACGAACCTTCGAAACCAAACAGGTCTCCGTTGTTGACGGCTTTTCCTGGTCTCTTAGATTCATCGGATTTCGTTTTATCTTGTTCCAAGAACCAATCTCGATAATTCTGCAGCTTTCGTAACCAGGCAGCTGGAAGAACAGAGAATTCAATGCGTCTTTCTGTGTACTGGGAACAGACAACATGCAGTCCACATTAACTTTATTATTTACTTACACCAGTGGTCAATAAGAGAGCCGTTCTCACCGCCATATTCGCTAGGTAGAATCCTCTTCGATATCATACCATGTAATGCAGCGTGTCCTTTTGTGTGGACGTGTATCTGAGAAACAGGAATAAACATTCCAACTGCAGTTCTAATAATTCAATTCAGTTCAATTCGTGTTTATTTACGTGCAAACTTAACAGCACAATAATAATAATAATAATAATAATAATAAAAATAAAAGTAGAGGTATACCTGTAACAGGCCGTGGAGGCCCATAGGGTTGTGAGATGTTGAGGTTCATATATTTTCTAGAAAATCGGCTCATGGATGGCGGAAAGGTTGTCAGCCTTACGCGCCGGCTGCCCTTTACCCCCCTGGAAAATTCCAAGAATATTCCTGGTACTCATTTGTGTTAGAGGCTGAGTCGATCCCAGGACCGTAGTGCCGTTGGAAGGATTAGGTAAATTGAAAAAATCCACCTCATCGGGATTCGATCCCGCGACCTTCCGGCTTTTAGCATAGTGCTTCAACCAAATACGCTACCGCGTGCCCCCAATAATAATAATAAGGAGAATAATAATTCAGTTCAATTATTTATTGTTTATGTGCTGAGCCAACAGCCGCAAGGCCAGTTACAGACATAGCACCGTGTAGATAAAAGTAGTTACATACTGGACAAACAGAACATAATGTCAAAGAATAATTAAAGGTGATTATTGGAGGAAAACAATTAATACATATATGGAAACATAATAATAATAATAATATCATTATCACAAATCTAACAAGTTGCTATTGACAATTCAGGAATGCAAAGTATAGAGATTTAGAGAGAACAATAACAATTCAGTTTAATTGTTTAATTATAATTAATTGCATACCTTACGTAATATGACGCTGGCCTTCGATACATTGGAGACTGCTTTGTTCAGTGCCTGTACTTCAACAAAGTGTTTAGGCTGCTAAAGTTGCTAGTGGGGTTACTCATATGTTTGGGACCAAAAATATGTGTCGATTTCAAAATTTGTAACGGCGTGGGAGTACGATGAGACAGTACGTCAGATATTTATAGACTTCAAGAAAGCCTATGATTCAGTTAGGATGGAAGTATTGTACAATATTCTGATAGAGTTTGGGATATCCATGGAACTAGTTAAGCTGATTAAAATGTGTTTAAACGAAAAGTATGGTAAAGTCCGTATAGGTAACCATTTGTCCGATAAATTTCCTATCCAGAATGGTCTGAAACAGTAGATGCTTTATCGCCACTGTTTTTTCGACATTTCTTTAGAACGTTCCATTAGGAAAGTCCAGGAAAGACCGGAAAACCAGGTGGGACTGAAATTAAGTGGGACACTTCAGCTGTTAGTCTATGCTGATGATGTGAAACTTCTGGGTGATAATAGATACCATAGAGAAAAACACGCAAACTTTAATTGACGCAAGTAAGGAGATTGGCCTAGAAGTAAACACAGAGACAACTAAGTGTATGTTGCTGTCTCGTCACCAAAATGCAGGGCAAAATCATGACATAAAGAGAGCTAACAGATGTTTTGAAAATCTGGCACATTTCAGATATTCGGGAACGACGATAATAAATTATAACCTGATTGAAGAGGAAATTAAAAGGAGATTGAACCCGGTAATGCTTGCTACCATTCAGTCCAGAACCTTTTGTCTTCTCGTCTGCTGTCCCAAAACATAAAAATTAGAATATACGTACAAAACTATAATTTTGCCTGTGATTTTGCATGGGTATGAAACTTGGTCTTTGACATTAAGGGAGGAACATAGACTGAGGGTGTTGAGGAAAATATTTGGACCGAAGGGGGATGAATTGACAGGAGGTTGGAGAGAACTGCATAATGAAGAGCTTCAACACTTGTACTCTTCTCCAAGTATAATTAGAATGATCAAGTAAAAGGAGGATGAGGTGGGCAGAGCATGTAGCACGAACAGGCGAGAAGAGGAATGCATATAGGGTATTGGTGGGAAAGCCGAATGGAAAGTGACCACTGGAAAGACCAAGGCGTAGGTAGGTGAACAATATTAAAATGGATAGCATGAGATGGTATGGATTTGATTGATCTGGCTAAGGATAGGGACCAGTGGAGGGCCCTTGTGAACACAGTAATGAACCTTTGGGTTCCATGAAATGCTAGGAAGGTCTTGAGTAGCTGCACATTTTGCTTGTCTTCCAGAAGGGCTCAGCTCCATAAGTAAGTAAGTAAGTATTTTTTTTAATTGCTAGTGGTGTGGGACTAATTCCCTTGTACTGTGGCCACTTCTGGTCTATTGTACCAGCCCCAGATGATAGGTGAGGGTGATTGTGGAGCAATTGGTGGAATGAAGATTGGCAGGGGAAACCGAAGTACTCGGAGAAAACCTGCCCCAGCCCCACTTTGTCCACCACAAATCCCACTTGACCAGACCCGGGATCGAACCCGGGCCGCCGCGTTGGGAAGCCAGCGACTAACCGCTTGAGCTATGGCGCGGCCATACCCTAGTTAAATTATTCTATATGGATTTTGGTGTACTGTTATCTTAATTTTCGTTAACACGTTGAATTTCTCGTTTTATATGCAGTAAAATTGTTTGGCTTCTCTTTTCCACGGCTGTAGTTTACACTGGTCACATTTAAGCTTAAGTATGACCATGCTGCTTCAAACTCCATTACTGTTTTCTCTCTCTCTCTCTGTGGCTTTGCAGCCCTTCGGAATTCGGCCGCTTTTACTGTTTCTTAATCCTACACACAGTAATTAGGACTCTTTGGACGGGGGATCAGCCCGTCCCAAGGCCGCTACCTACGCACAGAACGTCACGAACACAGAATAAACGAAAATAGACATCGATGCCTTCAGTGGGATTGGAACCCAGTGTTGGAGTGGGCGAAGACGGTTCATGCCTTAGAGCTCGCGGCCACTTTGATCACAACAGATTTTTCAAAATATTCAGTATTGCTGTGATAATGCATTAGAATGGTTAAATTTAAAGGGACTATATATAAGCCGTTGGCACTCTGATGATTAATTCATAATAAATATTGAAAATGGCGCTAAATATTACCCCTTATTTCCATAAGCTGTCTGTGTTCCTGCTTCTTCCCGGAGCATAAGTAGGTAAGAATATTTTTGCTGATGTCAGACGCTATTTGGGCCGCCTCTGTGTTCTAGTGGTCAGAGTTCGTGGCTCCAGATGCAGAGGTCCCGGGTTCGATTCCCAGCGCTGACAGATTTTCTGAGAAATAGTGGGTGTGGAACGGGGTCCACTCAGCCTCGTGAGGATAATTGAGGAGCTATTTCATTGGAATAGCTGCTCCAGTCTAGAAAACCGAAATTAATGGCCATGGGGATCCGTTGCGCTGACCACGTGATACCGTCTATCCGCAAAATGTTGGCACGACAAGCGGCGGTCACTCGGTCGGTATAGTTCGCTTGCGGACTACAGGCCACGGGGGTTTTTTCAGATGCTATTTAATCAGTAACCTTTAGGTACGTGTATTTCTGTACCTTACTCAGTTCTTAGGCCGATAGAAACTGTCAGAACTTTTTATGATGGAATTTGAAGGCTTTCTTGTATTTATTTGTTTAGTTATCCATGTATTTTTCTTTAGCCGTTATGTTGTATTCGTGTTGATTCAGTAACTGGTTCCTGATTGTTAATACCACTGCATAATGATTGACGTCATTGCACTATAAAACTGTTATTATATAAAAGAAAAAAGGTGTCGGAGCGTGAAGCTAACCAATCACCTCCAACTAGTGCCGAGATCAAAAACGTGGGTCTATACATCCACTTCCCCATAAGCCTTCATGGCGTAGTGCTTAATTAGTTAAACATAGAGGACAACTTTACATTTTTTATATAATTAAGGT